CCATACACTTGAACACAAGTTATTGTCTGGAAACTAGAAAAATGCTTGTTTTTTGGCCCCTTTGTGGCCACAATTTCCTAAACGTTTAGGGCAATTACCACCAAACTCAAAGCTAGCTTTCCCTTTGTGATATGGAACCTTGCAGTACAATTTCATAAAGATCCATACACTTACACACAAGTTATTGTCCTGAAACTAGAAAAATGCTTTGTTTTTTTGCCCCTTTATGGCCCCTAATTCCTACAATTTTTAGGGAATTACCCCAAAAATCAATCCCAGCCTTCACTTTGTTGTATGGTACCTTGCAGTACAATTTCAGAGAGATCCATACACTTGAACACAAGTTATTGTCTGGATACTAGAAAAATGCTTATTTTTGGCCCCCAATTCCTAAACATTTCGGCAATTACCCCCAAACTCAATTCCAGCTTTCCCTTTGTGATATGGAACCTTGTAGTACAATTTCAGAAAGATCCATACACTTACACACAAGTTCTTGTCCTGAAACAAGAAAAATGCTTGTTTTTTTTCCCCTTTTTGGCCCCTAATTCCTAAAACATTGAGGCAATTACCCCCATCATCAATCCCAGCCTTCCCTTTGTGGTATGGTACCTTGCAGTACAATTTCAGAGAGATCCATACACTTGAACACAAGTTATTGTCTGGAAACTAGCAAAATGCTTATTTTTGGCCCCTTTTTTGGCCCCCAATTCCTAAACGTTTCGGCAATTTCCCCCAAACTCAATTCCAGCTTTCCCTTTGTGATATGGAACCTTGTAGTACAATTTCAGAAAGATCCATACACTTACACACAAGTTATTGTCCTGAAACTAGAAAAATGCTTGTTTTTTGCCCCTTTGTTGGCCCCTAATTCCTAAAATTTTGAGGCAATTACCCCCAAAATCAATCCCAGCATTCCTTTTGTGATATGGAACCTTGTGGTACAATGTCAGAGATATCCATACACTAACACACAAGTTATGTCTGGAAGTTACAAAAATGCTTATTTTTGGCCCCTTTTTGGCCCCTAATTCCTTTACTGTTGGTACCATAACCCCCAAAATCAATCCCAACCTTCCTTTTGTGGTATTGAACCTTGTGGTAAAATTTCATAGAGATCCATTCACTTAAACTAAAGTTAGAGTGTGAAAACTAATGTGTCTTCGGACGAGGCCGGACGACGACGACGGCAACGTCATACCCATATACGACCACAAAATTTTTTTTGCGGTCGTATAAAAACCCAATCATTTGTCATTTAAGTGATAAAAAACCCCATTCATGCAAAGGAGAACCCAATTACATGTCAAAACTGCTTTTTCTACCCACTGTCCAAGTGCTAAATTTACCCTAACTGATTAATTGATGGGTAATTTATTGTCCTTTGTTATTTTGAGAAATCGTCTTGAAATCATTCTAAAAAGAGAGCACCCAATCAAATTGCTGATCTGTGTCCTTGTTGGAATTCTTTAATCAGTTATCTGTTGGTCAGATTTTGTTTCCCTAGTAATCAGTTGGGTCTTTCAAATACAGAACTGGTAAGAATGTTTCAAACCAGACAAATTAAATTTAAAAAACCTGCTTATCAGTGTATATACCAAATTAAAGTCCTATCATATATATATAGATTCCTACACTGCAACAAGTGTATTACGATATTTCTCCACTCGAGACAGTTAAATTTTATTATTTAAAGCGTGAGGCTTGCAGAGCTTTTTAAATAATTAAAATTTAACTGTCGAGAGTAGAGAAATATCGTAATACACGAGTTATAGTGTCGGAATCTGTTTCTCTGATGATTTTTATCCTTCGTTTTTGAAAGATTTTCAGAAACTTGTGTACTTTATATGCGACGTCATCAGGCATGGTCTCCTTTTTTCATGATGTCACAATAGGAAAATTCAGAAGAAAACAAAACATTTTGACGTCATAATCAAATTTCGACTAATCATTTGCCGAGAACAGATATTTCACAAGTGAGGAGAAACATTTTTCTCACACCGATCAAGAAGTGTGAAAATAGCACAAAAATTAGAGAAACTAGTATCATCAATGAAATTCATTTAAGATAGCAGTGGATGACGGTCTTGATTTGTGACATCAATAATAATATGTCTCAATTCAATAACATGATGATAAAAAAAACTCAATACTTGCAGGAATGTTGTAGTGTAAAACCCCAAATTTTCAGGAGCTTAGTGGTGATCACCCAATTTGATCTTTGTCTGAGGGGGGAATTGCTATTGATGTTGCAAATAAAAAATAAATCTATTTCACTCAATTAGATTAATTATGGTGGGTAACTCCCCAATTTGTCAGGTCCTAAACCATACTGCTGGGACCTTCCTTTATTATTATTTGATAAAAAGTAGATCCTTCAAACTTTTTTAGTTTAAATGTGATTTCCACTTTGTGTGGACACCACATTTTTTTAACTGGCAAAAAATATTACTTTTTAATTTCCTGTTTGTTTCCGGTAAAAATATAGAAACTTAAAAAAAATATTAACATTAATTTAAAGAAAACTACTGTTGAAACAATATTAAATTATTAAAACTGAAGCATTCAATTTTTGATGAAATCAAACAAAGTTTAATTTTGGACCCTTTTGACCTCAATGTGGACAAAGTTGATAATGGGGCCCACAAATCAAAAATCTAAATACATAGTTAGATTCAGCATATCAAAGAACCCCATATATTCAATTTTTGTTGAAATCAAACAAAGTTTAATTTTGGACCCCGATTTGGACCAACTTGAAAACTTGGCCCATAATCAAAAATCTAAATACATGTTTAGATTCAGCATATCAAAGAATCCTAAGAATTCAATTTTTGTTAAAATCAAACTAAGTTTAGTTTTTGACCCTTTGGACCTCAATGTGGACACAGTTGATAATGGGGCCCAAAAATCAAAAATCTAAATACATGGTTAGATTCAGCATATCAAAGAACCCCATATATTCAATTTTTGATGAAATCAAACAAAGTTTAATTTTGGATCCTTTGGACCTCAATGTGGACCAATTTAAAAACGGGGCCCAAAATCCAAAAACTTAATACACGGTTAGAATCAGCATATTAAAGAACCCCAAGAATTCAAGAATAAAACCCCATTGAAATTGGTCAAGAAATAAGCAATTTATACGAACTATTTTCTTTTGCACAATACTGAGCAATTGAATATTTCTTGCTATGCGCAATACTGTACAGTTGACAATTTCTTGCTATTGCGCAATATTGTGCTATTGGATATTTCTTGCTATTGCACAATACTGTGCAATTGAAGATTTCTTGCTATTGCGCAATACTATGCAATTGAAGATTTCTTGCTATTGTGCAATACTGTGCAATTGAAAATTTCTTGCTATTGCACAATACTTATTATATAATAATTTACACATCCTGTTTGGTGTGTATCTCCTACCATATCATTATTATTTGCTTTTAAATATAAAACAGAAATAACCAACTTAAAATGGAAAATTTTAAAAGAAAAAAAAAAAGGGAAAAAAAAAAAATCCCCCCCCCCAAAAAAAAATTTTGTGAACCCCCTTATGATTCATCACCCCCAAACTCAATCCCAGCCTTCCCTTTGTGGTATGGTACCTTGCAGTACAATTTCAGAGAGATCTATACACTTGAACACAAGTATTGTCTGGAAACTAGAAAAATGCTTATTTTTGGCCCCTATTTGGCACCTAATTCCTTAACGTTTTGGGCAATTACCCCCAAACTCAATTCCAGCTTTCCCTTTGTGATATGGAACCTTGCAGTACAATTTCAGAAAGATCCATACACTTACACACAAGTTATTATCATGAAACTAGAAAAATGCTTGTTTTTTGCCCCTTTTTTGGCCCCTAATTCCTAATATTGTGAGGCAATTACCCCCAAAATCAATCCCAGCATTCCCTGTGTGATATGGAACCTTGTGGTACAATATCGGAGAAATCCATACACTTGAACACAAGTTATTGTCTGGAAACTAGAAAAATGCTTATTTTTGGCCCCTTTTTGGCCCCTTATTCCTAAATTTTGGGCAATTACCCCCAAACTCAATTCCAGCTTTTCCTTTGTGATATGGAACCTTGTAGTACAATTTCAGAAAGATCCATACACTTACACACAAGTTATTGTCATGAAACTAGAAAAATGCTTGTTTTTTGCCCCTTTTTTGGCCCCTAATTCCTAATATTTTGAGGCAATTACCCCCAAAATCAATCCCAGCATTCCCTGTGTGATATGGAACCTTGTGGTACAATGTCAGAGAGATCCATACACTAACACACAAGTTATGTCTGGAAGTTACAAAAATGCTTATTTTTGGCCCCTTTTTGGCCCCTAATTCCTTAACTGTTGGTACCATAACCCCCAAAATCAATCCCAACCTTCCTTTTGTGGTATTGAACCTTATGGTAAAATTTCATAGAGATCCATTCACTTAAACTAAAGTTAGAGTGCGAAAACCAATGTGTCTTCGGAAGACGCCGGACGACGCCAGACGACGACGCCAACGTCATACCAGTATACGACCGCAAAATTTTTTTGCGGTCGTATAAAAATGGAGTTTGGATTGGTTCAATTCAACGATACATACAGGCCTTTATAAATTTGATAAATTGAATTTGAAATTATGCTGCATATATTTTGACTCACTTTTAAAATCAACAAAATGTTAAATAATTAACACCTTACATGCAGTACATTTTCAGAGTTTTTTCAAGACAAAAATATAATCAGTTTGTGAATCCTCATTGAAACTGCCCTGTTTATTTCAAACTACTGTAAATTCAGAAATTATTGCGAGGTTTTTATTAATGCGAATAATGCGACTAGGTGAGTATCGCAATAATAAAAACTCGCATTTTGATAACTGCAACATAGATCTGTATGTAGATTTTTCTGAATTCGCAATAATTAAAATCGCATTCTTGTGTATTTTTGCAAAATCGCAAAAATAAATGCACGCAATAATTTCTGAATTTACAGTATTACATATAGCTTAAAATCTCCATTTTAATATTTCCTTCAACTGTTCACTTTTTATTTAATGCAAAGGAATAACATAAAGCAGTAGTATGTGTACAATGTAAATAATACTCAATACATTTTTCAAGACACATATTTTGTTTTCTAATAGAATATATTTATTTTTAATAGTCATACATGTACAAGAATCTTATCTGAAAACACTTGCAGAATCTAAATTAGTGTAATCAAAATTTCAAAGGATAAGATTACAGGATTTAAATGAAAATTTGCTTTTGGTTTCTTGTGTTGTTTGGTTGCTGTCTTATTCTAATAGAATATGTCCAAGATTTCCTTTTATTATTATTCATGAAATATTTATAGTTTTTATGCTAATTATATCAAGAAACACTTAATGTACTGTGTACTGATTTACTTCTCATGAAAAATTTTTATGTTAGAAATAGAACGACCAGTAACCAGTTTTCTCTGTTTGCAATTGTAATACAAACTACCATCAAAGAGTATTGATTTTAGTCCTTTATTCTTCACAGTTTTATACTGTTTACCATCAGATGACACATGCTGTACTGATCTATCATCACACACCACATACAGACTGCCATCTTGTAGTGTAGTCATCCTGCTGGATCGTGATGGTAATGTTAGGGTGTGATGTCTGTAATCAGTATAACTATACCAGTACAGGTTGTTGTTGGTATCACAGTAGAATATTCTGTCACCAGAACCCTGTAACCTGCCAGGATGACGGTCAGTCTGTATTGTCTGTACCACCTCTCCTGTCTGATGATCTATGATCAGTAGTCTGTTGACACCACCTACAACTAACTTGTTGTTTATAGTTGTAATGCCAATCAAATACAACATTCCAGGTAGTGATATTGATTTAAGTTTGAGTTTATTGTTTATGTCAAACATCTCTATACATTTACTACCATACAGTGTAACAGCTACTGTAGAGTTGTTGACTGCTGTAACACTCCCTGGTCCTCCCTGTACATGAATACTGTCTGCCTGTGATCCATCTGTATTACAGATCAGTAGTCTGTGCTGCCAAGGTAAACACATCACCAGTCTACCATCATCCATCATCACCATATCTGATACATATCCTACCAAGTCATCACCAACTTCTAATGTCAGGTTTATCTCATGATGTAGTATAAAGATAGACTGTCCTAGTATGTAGGGCTTATTTGGTTGGTCAACTGAAACATTACAATATCAGTTTCAATAATAAGATGATTAATTATTAGCAAGTGTATATATTGCAATTAGTGTATTAAAATTTAAAAAAAAATGACAAATGAAATCTGAATATATTACATTTTAAAATAAATAAAACTTTATAATTAAATAATTTTGTTGGTTTAAAATGAAAATAGCGGAATAATTATTTTTTTTTGTAAATTTGTGCCACATACCTTGTTTATTAGTTTGGTTTTTTATCAACTGTTGTAACACTTCCTATAAAAAAAAATTACATTGAAATGTAGAAGTATGAAAATTCTTACAGATTATTCTACAAATGTGCTTGGTTGTTTTCAGTAGCAAAGTCTTCTAAAAACTTGTGTACATTTCTTATTGAATTGGTACAGTGTTGTAATATTTGATTGATGGATGTTGAATGTCCAGTGGATAAGTTTTTCTACACTATTCAGCATCCTTCAGTATGATTATATATTAATGGTACTAGAAAGAATGCTTCAAAACATATTTTTTCCATTATTCATTATTTTTCATTATTGTGTCTTGTTTTCCTGCCGAATGTTGTTTATTCTTGTCAAATCTAAGTCCAACTTAGTGCTTTTTTTTAACAGATATAGGAACTAAGTTATAACAGGGGGGGGGGGGGGAACTCTTGATTTCCTGACGTCAGAATATATTTGCATATTAATTTCCCAAATAGAAGGTAAACATGGCCTTGCAAAACTGACCAATCGACTCAATGAACTACAATGCATTGTGGGCTACTACGAGTTTACTACCTCTTAAAAACACTCGGAATTAGTGAGAAAACTGTAAACTTATATAGTGTCTGGGACTCTCATAAAAAAAAGTTTTGTTCAGCGAAATGTGTTTAATGTAAAATATTTAACATAATCTTCAATTTGCATGCTCAGATTAAAAAAATATTGTTTACTGGCTTCACGATTCGACTTTCTTTTTTGCCTTGTAAAAGTAGTTGGACAGGTTTTGTCCATTGTTATGCATTGAACATGTGCATTAATTTCACGTGAAACTGAAATTTCCAATGAAGTGACCACTGTCCAATTTAAAATACCTATATCCAACAAATGAGAGAAATATAATAGGTTTATATCCAATGCTGCAATTTTCACAAAACATATCAAAGTTCACGTCCTTGTCGCACATAAACATGGATAGCATCATAAATGATTTTATTGGGATTGGCAAATGTCAAAGTCCGTTAAAAATATTAAAAATTCCAATATCTACATTAGAAGAAATCGAACTTTGCAAAGATGAAAACAAAACGAAACTACAGCTGCTGGCAATGATTATTTAGAATATTGCTTCATTACCTTCAGAATAAAGGGAACTTGACAGTTTGAAAAAGAAAATAAATGTGGAATGTGTCCATGGGACACAGATGATACCCCCGCTTGCATATCATATAAAGATATAAAGGGACATAACTGAAGAACGGTAAAAGTGAGGCTACCCAAATTTGCACTTGATCTGAGTTTTGTGGTAGTAAGCATTGTGTATAAGTTTCATAACATTTGGTTGAGGCAAATTAAAGTTAGAGAATGGAAACAAAAATTCAGCAATTTTTATGTTTATAAAGGGGCATAACTCAAGAACAGTAAAAGTGTCACCAACCAATTTCAAACTTGATCTGCATTAAGTGGTAATAAGCATTGTGTATAAGTTTCATAACATTTGGTTGAGGCAAACTAAAGTTAGAGAACGGAAACGAAAAATTCAGCAATTTTTATATTTATAAAGGGGCATAACTCAAGAACGGTAAAAGTGACGCCACCCAATTTCATACTTGATCTGTAGTATGTTGGTAATAAGCATTGTGAACAAGTTTTATAACATTTGGTTGAGGCAAACTAAAGTTAGAGAACGGAAACGAAAAACCCAGCAATTTTTTGTCGAGCCTGTGACAAAAGTCGCAGAAAGCTCGACATAGGGATAGTGATCCGGCGGCGGCGGCGTTAGCTAACTTCTTAAAAGCTTTATATTGTAGAAGGTGGAAGGTCTGGATGCTTCATGCTTTGTATATGGATGCCTCATGTTACGAAGTTTTCGTCAGTCACATGTCCAATGTCCTTGACCTCATTTTCATGGTTCAGTGACTACTTGAAAAAAAAGTTAAGATTTTTTGTAATGTTAAATTCTCTCTTATTATAAGTAATAGGATAACTTTATTTGGTATGTGCGTACCTTGCAAGGTCCTCATACCCGTCAGACAGTTTTCACTTTACCTCGACCTCATTTCATGGATCAGTGAACAAGGTTAAGTTTTGGTGGTCAAGTCCATATCTCAGATACTATAAGCAATAGGTCTAGTATATTCGGTGTATGGAAGGACTGTAAGGTGTACATGTCCAACTGGCAGGTGTCATCTGACCTTGACCTCATTTTCATGGTTCAGTGGTTATAGTTAAGTTTTTGTGTTTTGGTCTGTTTTTCTTATACTGTATGCAATAGGTCTACTATATTTGGTGTATGGAATGATTGTAAGGTGTACATGTCTAGCTGGCAGGTGTTATCTGACCTTGACCTCATTTTCATGGTTCAGTGGTCAAAGTTAAGTTTTTGAGTTTTGGTCTTTTTTTCTAATACTATATGCAATAGTTCAACTATATTTGGTGTATGGAAATATTTTATGATCTATTTGTCAGTCACGCAGGTTTTATTTGACCTTGACCTCATTTTCAAGGTTCATTGCTCAGTGTTAATTTTTTGGTGTTTTGGTCTGTTTTTTTTAAACTATAAGCAATAGGTCAACTATATTTGTTGTATGGAAGAATTGTTAGCTGTACATGCCTGCCTAGCATGGTTCATCTGACCTTGACCTCATTTTCATGGTTCATTGGTCAATGTTTAGTACTTGGTTAATGTTAAGTTTATGTCACAGTTGTAATAAAGCTTTATATTTAGGACTATCAACATAATATCAATGATTAGTAAAGAAGGCAAGACATTTCAGCGTGTGCACTCTTGTTATGTTTTATTAAGGGGCATAACTCAAGAACCGTTATCGTGACAGCACCCAATTTCAAATTTGATCTGTGTTTTGTGGTAATAAGCATTGTGTATAAGTTTCATAACATTTGGTTGAGGCAAACTAAAGTTAGAGAACAGAAACCAACTTTGGGACATACAGACGGACAAGGGTAAAACTTATTATTTCTTATGCAGCAAAAATACTGCAATCTGATTGGTTAATTACCCCGGTGTAAATAACACCCCACATGCTGAAAGCATTTTTGAGTTATTGTCTGAAAACTGGAAAATCCCCCTTTTTGTAATGAATAAAACCCCATAAATCGGAAACGTAAACTCTAAAATTTAAAAAAATCAAAAGGGAGCTCATGTAGATAGAAATAAACAATTCACCAAAATTTGTTGCAAATTGGTGAAATTGTTTTTGAGTTATTGTCCAAAGACTGGAAAATCGCCCCTATTTTAATGAATAAAACCCCATAACTCGGGAATGTAAAATCTAAAATTTATAAAATTCTAAAGGGAGCTTACATCAATACTGAATAGATATAAATAATTCACCAAAGTTTCATAAAAAATGCTGAAAGCATTTTTGAGTTATTGTCTGAAAACTGGAAAATCCCCCTTTTAGTAATGAATAAAACCCCATAAATCGAAAATGTATGGTTTAAAATTTATAAAAATCAAAAGGGAGCTCATGTCGATAAAAATAAACAATTCACCAAAGTTTCTTGCAAGTTGGTGAAATTGTTTTTGAGTTATTGTCCACAAACTGGAAAATCCCCCTTTTTTAATGAATAAAACCCCAAAACTCGGAAACGGTAAATTCAAAATTTATAAAAAAGGAAAGGGAGCTCACATCAATAGATATAAACAATTCACCAAAGTTTCATGCATATTGGTTAAAGCGTTTTTGAGTTAATGTCCGACATGTTGACGATGGACAGACAGACAGACAGACGGACGGACGAACGGACAGACGGTCAACAGTATAACATAATACGTCCCGTAAACGGGTGTATAAAAACCCATACCTTATAGTCGGCTATAAATTGCCACGATTGATGATTACACGTATTTGTTTCTTAAAGACAAATTAATAAATAAATGCCCTTCCTCGATTTAAATGACTTTCTAATTCTAAAAGAAGGTACAATATCATAGCATCAATGTTGTGAAAAGCTGGGAAATTATAGTGACCCCCAAAAGATATTTGACACACTCTAAGTTTTCCCCTTTTTTACGAACCCAAAATTCAAGGATATCGTATTTTTTTGACTATCTGAATGAAAGTTTATCTTATGGGTAATTGTGTTTTTCACAGTTGTTTCGTTGCTGTCTTGTGGACGAATATCTGAAATCTTTGTGTATTCATCAAGCATATTAATGGCTATATTTCGGGTAATTTAAACACTCGTTTCTTTGCATAGAAACAACTCCTCTGTAATCTGAGCATGGAACGAATACTTTATATCACAGGCTATAAATGTGAATACAAAAAATGAAAAATTAAGCGAATTTGTTTATCCCGCAATGCATGAAAAAATGTGTTGAATTTCAGTATATAACTCGCGTTCACGGCTGATCGTAAACACGTAATAGTCCATCATGCATTGTTACTCATTTAGTTGATTGGTCAAAAACCCAGGTAAAATAAAATGCTCCGCAGGGCGCAGCTTGATACGACCGCAGAGGTCGAACCCTGAACAGTTGGGGCCAGTATGGACACAACATTCAAGCTTGATACAGCTTTGGATTTGGATTGTGATTAAATATTTGACACAGCATAGGTTTCTAACACAGATTGAATGTGGTCTAAGAACTTAAAAATTTTAAATTGGACATTCACCTATTATGGTCCAATATCCAAAATCTAAATACATGGTTAGATTCAGCATATCAAAGAACCCCAAGAATTCAATTTTTGATGAAATCAAACAAAGTTTAATTTTGGACCCTTTTGACCTCAATGTGGACAAAGTTGATAACGGGGCCCAAAAATCAAAAATCTAAATACATGGTTAGATTCAGCATATCAAAGAACCCCATATATTCAATTTTTGTTGAAATCAAACAAAGTTTAATTTTGGACCACGATTTGGACCAACTTGAAAACTGGGCCCATAATCAAAAATCTAAATACATGTTTAGATTCAGCATATCAAAGAACCCTAAGAATTCAATTTTTGTTAAAATCAAACTAAGTTTAATTTTGGACCCTTTGGACCTTAATGTAGACCAATTTGAAAACGGAACCAAAATTT